CCCCAAAACCCCAAAACCCCAAAACCCCAAAACCCCAAATCCTCGATGAATAAAGTATTTTGCTAAAAATATAAATAAATATGATAAAAATGTCCAAGTATGACAAGCAGCAGAAGATGATTCAAGTATTTAATAAGGCCACCGATAATAAAGATTCTAAGAAGGCTATGGAATTCTTAGTCGGTTCAAAATGGAATGTCAAGGTATTAATTTAGATTGCTCTGACCCTTAAAAATCAGATTAAACTCTAAGTATTTTATTTTTCAAAATTTTCAATGATTTACCTCTTGGGAAGAATACAAATAGTTATCTATAGAAAGCTATTGAATGATATCACCTCTATTTAAGAGTTGGTCAAAGAGACAAGGAAGGATCGATTCTGTTTCATCGCCATAGTGAGCCTATAAACTTTGGAAAAACTTTCACTGGTAAAGTCAAAGAGCCAAAAGTACAAGAGATTCCAATAAGAAGACCGAACTCTTTTAAAAGTCTGTCACTCGATAACTCAAAGAAGTCCGAGCTTGAGTCTAAGATTATGAATGGGCTTGATACTTTCGTTGAAGACAAAAAGTTCATCGAAGGTAAGGATCTTTATTCACCATTTTGAGGAAAATTGATGATATCTAAGTATTGACTCCTCATTTATTAAATTAAGGACATATAGAGGATTTCATGATCCCTCAAGATGATGATGATTTCGAAGAAAATTTAAATAAGCCAAAATTTAAAAAGGTGGAGTCAAGCGAGGTTGATGATACTGATGAATGAGGAGGAGCCCAGGCCCCTATAGTGAGCTACAAAAGTTTATTGCATAATACCCTGACAGAGACGAATTCAAAAGAAGAAACCAACAAGGGAGAGCTCTCTCCTGAATATCTATTTAAAAATATATTTGGAAAAGATGAAGAGGATGATGATGAAGAATCAAATCGGGTCACTGCTTTCTTTGGAGAAGTAAACCAAGATAAGCAGGCTTAGAAGTTGTAATGAGGTGAAGGACTGAATTAAAGCATATTATATTTTCGATATAATTTTCCATAACTATCTAATCTCAGACAATTTATTTACTTTACCTATTTGCAGAATATTTTAAATAATTTACTTACTCTAATAAATACACAGGATTACTACTGATATATATTCCAATTTTATTTTGAAGTAATCGATCATGACTAAATTATTTTTAATCTTTTCTTTACATTCCAAACAACAAGCAAAACTTCATCTCAAATCCACATTACCCTTCTTCAACCCCCAATTCTCATCATAACTCCATAATCTTCCAATTTCTTCTCCAAAACTCCCAATTCCCCACCTCTCAACCTCCTAAAACCCCCTTTCCCCACTCTCACCCAACTTACCCTAAACACCTCCAATTTCACCCCAAAATCTCCAAAATCCCCAATCCCAGCCCACCCACTTCCTTTTCATCAACCCAAGTTTCAACCCAGCCTACAGATTATGGGGTTTTGGGGTTTTGGGGTTTTGGGGTTTTGGGGTTTTGGGGTTTTGGGGTTTTGGGG